AGATGTGCCTGCAAGACTTGGGTCACATAATCCAATGCATTACACCATGCGACACCCTAAGGTCTTCACATGCTTAAACATGTGCTATCATGTGTTCATTCTCTTTGAGCTCAGTTTGAGTCCTTCCTTGAGCCTTTCCCATTATATTCTGAGCATTAAATTTGTTGATTTGAGCCCAATTTGAGTACTCCTTTGAGCTTTTCCCATTGCATTTTGAGCTCTAAAAGTGGCAGGTGTTGAGGCTTGCTGTGGCATTGGGCAGCGCAATAACCACATGTCAGAGCCACACACAGCCACCCGGAGAACTCCAGAGCCTTTTCCTGTTGGTTTTCCTCTTCCTTTCTCTTATATCACCACCCCCTAACGGGGGGGAGTGCTACGGATTCATGCCAATTTCATGTTGAAAGTATGGATTCATGCCGGCTGCGCATCCGGAATTTTCTTGGCGCCCAAAATTAAAAAACATGGGTGGAGTATGCTGGTTGGGTGCAATGTGGTGCAGTCAGATGTTTGCACGGTTCGTTGAATGACTTCTTGCGCTCATGCATTTTCATACGTCTTCGGTGGCTACTTTAAGCTTGCAGTATCGCAGTGTTTTGTCTACATCACGTTTTGATCTTTAATATTGTTTGATGCTTCTTTGGCATTCAATTGCATTGGTCTTGTTGGTCTTTGCCAAGAAGCATAGTACTATATAGTCTGTCACAGTCATGGAATATCACAATATTTGCACCATGGGCAAGTGGTTTTGGGGGCTCATATTAGTTGAGCCGGTGATGCGTTCCTTTCTGCTTGGTTTTTGTTCAATTGCTTCTTCACCCTGCGCATTGGTTTTCGACGTTGCTCCATGTTGCTGCAAGGTGTTTCTAGGACACTGAAACGTTTCGAAGCATGATCGAGGACGGTATGAAAAGCAATAGAAGCCACAATATGTAACTTAAAATCATGCTATGTCCTAGTTTGTTTAGGCATTTGCTACATGATGTCCTCTGACTGTCTTTATGTTGCTGCGGAGGCTCTTATGTTTATTTATAGTGACATATCGTTATAACATGCTTCAATTTTGTTCAGCCATGTTCAACTGCACCATACAGCATCAATAATGCTCAAAGATGTACACAGGTCCGTGAGATCACCAGTGAGCACGGTGAAATCCAGAAGGATGCTTTCTTGTTTGCGTTTGCACGCGAAAAGATACACAAACAACATCCTGATATGTATGCGCCTGTGAGCACACACGCACATGTGCACATACAGACATGCATGGACGTGCATTGGGGACGTGCGCACATCAGAAAAGAGGGTGAGTATAGTCTTTTTTGAACTTATTAGACATTGGTAGATAAAACAAGAGCACCCCAGTGCCTTTTGCAAAACACCAGACCTTCAACTTTCAACACCTAGTTTATCAAAAGCTTTCAAAAGTAGGTGTTATCCATTGAAGCTGGTGATGTTGGGGCTGGAACTTGCTTTCGGCAAATGGAGCATGTCTTTCATTGTCTTTCAAGCTGGCCAATCCAACGACTTCACAAGGTCAAGAAGAAGCCCTAGCCCTAGCTGCCCTAGAAGCATGAGTGAGAAACGGGCGAATCAGTCATGAAAGGCAGTTGCTGTTTTTCTGTTTTTCTTTCTAGTTTCAGCACTGTGGACATGATATGACAAAATAGTTTCTTATATTTCCCTCGCTGCATTATACACCTGACCAGTGAATGGCTCCCGTTGGTGGCTGTCCTTTTCCTTTTCTGTTCCTCTGCCTTTTCCTTTTTCATTTGTATTTTTCCTTTTCTTTTCTCTTTCCTGGTCCTCGCCTTCCCCTTTTCCCTTTTCCTTTCCTTTTTTTTCATTTCCTTGTCCTTTTCCGCTTCGTTTTCTTTTCCACTTTTGAGCTTTGTTCTTTTGAGTTCAATTTAAGTCCTTTTTTGAGCCTGTCACATTGGAATTTGAGCTTTAAAATAGTCAGGGGGCAGGTGTTGTGGCTTGCTGCCCCATTGAACAGTGACCACGTGTCAGAGTTGTCCTTTTCCGTGACCTTTTCCTTGTCTCTTCCTTTCCATGTCCCTTTTTCCTTTTCCATATGATCTGTATGCAAAAAACCTTTACAAATGCAACACTTACAAGATTCAATGGCTAAAGAAAATGCCTAGCCACCACGTACCAATGTCAGCACTCAGCCAAGCAGTCATCTGTGTGTATGCGCTGTCTCACACTGTGCAGTGTCCAGTTCACTGAGCTGAGCCTTGGAAACGCAAGAGCCAGTGAGATATAGACTGAGGTGTTGATGTTGTTGGATGTCGCTGTATGCTGCCACTTGTTGACACAGATTCAACCCAGCCAAACCGACGTTGCCCTGTTTTTGTTTTTGAGCTGAGAAGGTGTGATTTTCTACTCGGGTGTGCGTTGTGGCAGTAGATGAGCTGGTCTGCCAGAGTGCAGCAGGTCGAGCCAGGCTCTGGGCTCAATCTCCGCTGCTCAATCTCGATTTTTGGTCAATTGGGGTTGAGTCCTGGGATGTCGAGGGCTCACCATGGCTCACCAGCCAGGTGCCACACAGGTGTCAAATCTTTCACCTCCTGCAAACTCATTCTGGCGTCTTTTGATGCGTTTTGATGTGTCTTGACATAAGTTGACTGTTTTTGGCCCGTGTGCTATTTTACTCTTACTTTCTGGTGTCAGGGTATGTCAGGCTCAGATATGGCCTGATGGCCTGGAATGCTAATGCCCACCAAGGTTCAACAGTGTATATAAAGACGTCACCAGTGGATGCTTCAATGGATAACATCTACTTTTGTGCAACATGTGCCAACTTTGCAAAGGCTTGCAGAACCACCGCAAGATATAGCAAGCTGAAGTATGCCGAAACATGTTGAAATATGTTGAAATGCATAGAATTGCGTAGGGTAATATCCCGTTCATGAATGTTCATGATAGTTCATGTTTCATGATACTTCGTATGAAGCGTGTCTACATAGGATCATCACATTTGAAGACAAAAGTGGCATGATGTAGCCTGTACAAGGAAAAGAGGCTAATTTCAAAAGATGGTAAGATATACCAAGGTAAGGCATGGTAAGGCGTTAAGGCCAAGCGTGCATCTTCATACCCAAGAGCAACTGGACATTGCAGAAAAAAAGCGCAAAGAAAGTTGCGGATGTGCGTGGATGCTTCATCGGCATGAACAATCATTAAACCACACTTCCATATGAAATTTGCTGAATCGTACGTACCCCCCCCCCGCCCCCGTCTAAAATGGCTAGCCATTTTAGACCCCCCCCCCCTTAGGATGGGGTGATGTGCGTGCATAACATTGTCAAGATATAAGTAAGGGTCTATCCATATTGGAGAATTTTGCACATTTTTCAGTGGCAGGCCATGGAGAAACAACCGCAAAAGGATATGTTGTTTCTAGCATGTCCTTCCCAGCACTTGGGCCTCTTAGAACCCCAAAGTCCAGGAGTGGACCCTCCACAGCTGTTTTTTTCCACCTGTGTGCATCCGGCTGGCCATGAATTCTACAAAGCTCCCAGAGGACTGCCCAGCAGGTGGTGGGTCAGGGATCAGCCACGTGCCGAAGAGCTGGCTGAAGACAATCAGATGATGTCCAAGTTAGGTCACTGCAACGTAAGAACCGGGACAGGCATGTTTGGGAGGCCTGAGCAGGTTTGTTAGACTATTTGCCGCACAAGAGCTGGAGGACCGGGCCGGAGGAGACACGTGGAGACCAGAATAATTTGGATGTTTTTTGGCGTTCGTTCCGCTTGACTTGCTTGATGTTGTAGAACTATATGGCTGTGGGCCAAAACCTGGGCATTGACCCCTGAAAATGTACAGATTTCTCCAGGGGTGTCAACCTATACCATGGTTTGCTCAGGGATGTTTAACTGTGTTCAGACCATATGAAATCCGGACACCTTAGCCAGTGGCTTGAAAAGCAAAGCCGGAGCCACCGTATCAAGCACCATGTCAAAAAAAGTGTCAAAAAAGTAGATGGTAGCCAAGCTGAACCTGAACCAGGGGTGCTGCTTCAGCTTATAGAGAAGTCCGTCGCCTTGCGGGCATGCAGATGAATGTGCTTGCGCAAAGGGAACAGGTGGCCTTTATTGGCAATGCAGACTCTAGCTGGAGGGAGGTGACCTGCAGGGTGCATCCCTTTGGTCCAATCAGTTTGGGCAATTTGATCGTAGCGACAGCATCTCACAGATCCCTACCAGCAGGAGGCAGGAGAAAGTCACCCACAAAAAAGCGTCTGTGAGGCCTTGAATATTTTCCAATTAGTCTACGCGCCATTCCCTGGCACAGAGAAGTGAAAAAGGGTTTGACAAGTGCAGGTTATATGATTACTTGTTTTGGGGCTGGGGCACTCCGGACCCACAAGTCTCCAAGCGAACTCCTGTCAGGGCTTTTTGCCCGTGATCGCATCTCATGCCTGGATCGAGGCAAGATGCGGGTCTGGCAGGTGGATGTTCAGGTGAGCCGCATTCGCGGCACTCTCCATTCAGGTGCCTGAGGATGACCCTACACAGTGATCCAGCAACCCCATTTGACACCGCAACTGGATGGTCCAGGCATCTGCTGCAAGGAGACTTTTTGACAGGCTTAGTTCGAGGTCAATTCTTTTTACCCAAGTTTCGTGAAAAAGGGGAGAAGATGGGCAGTTACGTGTTTTGGTCCTCAACGTATGTCAAATTGACTGCATTACGGCGTTAAGAGGTGCATGTGTGTGCTTGCAGTCAAGTGGTGAAATCGCAGCCGGAGTGTTTCTTTGGGTGGCAGAGAAATCCTGGTGTGACTTAAGCGCTTCATGTCATGTGCTAAGCATGTAAATGGCTGGCCGACCTTCCAAGTCCTTCCGTACACAGTTCCTCCATTGTTTGTGAGCACAGGCAACATCTCAAGGATTCTCAAGGGTGGTTGATTCCCAGCACACCCTTTCAGCATCATTGCTATTCTTTCCAGGACTGCTCATCATGGCATTTGCCAACATCGCCCCTTCCAGACACAAAGAAAGCACTGTGAGATACTGTGAGATACCGTGAGACTGTTACCTTCAGTCGGTTTCATGTTTCATCCACTGATTGCTGGAACGCCAAACCAAGAATAAGGGCATCGCTACTAGGAATAAGAAGCTACTAGTAGCTCCTGGCATTACTGGTAGCAAGAAGCTACTAGTAGCAGGGGCATCGCCACTAACAAGGACGCTAATGTAAACCTCCAGGCAGAAGAGAAGACGGGCTGGTGGCTATGGCTTGGAGGCTCCAACCGCTCTGTCATGGTCCTCCTCTCAGGCGGATTTGGACCCCGAGCCCTTTGGACGAAGCACACATGACAGCACTTGACCCAAGCATGTGGCCCAGTCCCCTCGTCCGTTTTTGAAGCACACTCATGTGTGAATTGAGTGTTTGGTGGCTGGTTTTCCTCAGAGGCCGAATTTCCCTGCGGGACTTATCACTGGCCCCAAATGAAAGCGATGGAGAGATGGAGAGAGAGGGAGAGGTGCTTAGGAGGGCGCTACAGGCAGTTGAGAGCAACGTACAAGGGCTTTGCATCGTTTGCTCACCAGGCCTCCTGATTCTCTGGATTATTTCGGTGCTGATGGTCGCACCTTCGGTACAAAGTTAGCTTGGACCAGCCTCCGAGGCGGTGGAAAGTTCAAAACACAATTACCTGTTCGTACTTTGAGTGGGGGTTGGATGGTTTTTTGGAACGTAAGCTTTGGGCATTCAGGATCATCATTTGGATCTTTTTCATGTCACGCCCTGCAGATATTATCAAGATTTACCACGTGTAGTTATAGTTGGGAAACTCCTTGATCATGGATGAAGGACCAGATAAAAGGTATTGGTATGGAATGTTCGGCACGGTTTTTGTTAGAAGGTTTGAACGAGCACAGCCAGTTAGACAATATGCGTACGACCTCCGCCTTAGTGTTGAAGAATTGAATACATGGATAATGGATACCATCAAAAGGTAGTTGAAGAGATCAGGTTTCCTCCAATGGCATTGCCGATTTGCCAGTTTCTACGTTAGTCTATGTAATTTTAATTTTCCACTAGAATGCATGAGCCGATTTCCCGTTATTTCTGGAATTCTCGCTTTCCCCTTATGGGCCAAACCCAGTTTCCAAACTCTTACTGAGCTATTGGTTCCCATGGCTTTAAGCTCAGGAGCGTGAAACCCAGCTTCCGGCCCGGACCTTCTTTTTCACCACTGATGAGTGGATCCCTGGGCCAAGGGCTGCTGTGCCTCATGCAGTGCCGCCAGCTTTTATGAGCCAATTTCAGTCGCTCGGCATGTCCGGTTTTGGTGTGTTTTGGTAGTAGAGCCAGGTCGTCCTTCGCTGGCCCAACCGAAATAGATCGATTTCTTCAGGAACAGTGGGTCTTGCTTGAAGCGCATACCTCGAGTGGGAGAGCATGGGACGGGGGTATAAGCCCGCTGCGTTTACCACACTGGACCGCCGCTTTGCCCGCAATGGGCTCCCCTCAAGGACCCCATAACAAAACTTCCCCTTCCCGGCCCAGTTTGGGTCCATAGATTGGGTTTTCTATTTTTTGGCGCTAGGGGCTCCTGGCATTGCTACTAGGAGCAAGGACGCTACTAGGGGCTCCTGGCATCGCTACTAGGAGCAAGAAGCTACTAGGGCGTGCCCAGGATGGTGTAACGGTGGGACATGCCACTCAGGTGAAGCATGCCCCCGAAGCATCCCTTCGAAGCATACGACGCATGCAAGCATGCCGGGGAGCGTCGACATAAGACCCGGGACCTCAAGGTGCGAGCAGTCGGATTGCCCTTATATTTAGATTCTGGTTCCCTAGCAACCTTTGTGGTACTCATTGCTGGGGATCAGCCAATCGATCCAATCTGTTGCAATGGGGATTCCACTTTCTTTGGGGGGAACGCGCATCAATACTCGATACAACTTTGATGGCCCGGCCCGGCCATTCTTTTGCTTCCCCACTCTGGATGGCATTGATATGTTTCCGACTTTTTGGGCGCAGCAATAGGTGAGCAGCATTACCTGGAAGAGAAAGAAGGATTGGAGAATGCTTCTTGGCAGTAGTAGGCACTTGGGTGCGAGCATGGTAACTGTTTCTAATTACAGTCGGGCCAGTTTCCTTGCTTGCGTCCGTCCTGCGGTTATGGGGTTTCAGCCACTAAAACGGTTGGTAGAACCAGGGGTGCTCATGCATGTCATTCTAATTGTTCCAACTTGGATCTGCATCTTTTTTCACACAGCTGCTCCGGATGAAAAATAGAATATGCGCAGCATCGTGCCATGGTATTTGTACAGGGACAGTGGCACATGGTATTGAGATCTGTGGACAGGCTGCGTGTTGGCCTGTGGTGTTCATGCAAGGAATCACCTTCACTACTGCATCAGGGCCTTCAAAAGGTAATGAATGTAATGCATGTTTGATACTATGTGCCTCCAGGCGCCTGGCACATTTCTGCTTCATGTGCAGATTGGCCAATAGTATTCCGCGCATTTCCGAAAGTGATCAAACATGCGACTCTCAAAACTGCATCTCAAAACTATCTTTGTTTTCAGCGATCGTGCACTCGACAGCGTGCTGACTCAGTACGCTGTCAGGATTCCTACCCGTCAACGTCCTTTTGTACATGTACTGGTATACTGGTACACTTGTAGCATCAAACGTGGGTTCACATCGGAGTCACCCGAAGGCGCATACTTGTTAGCCCAAGAGGATTCAACCAGAGAATCCACAAAAAACTTGCACGCCCACCGTCCGCCACACCGGCTGAGACAAAGAAACAGTATGTAAATCAACAACGGCGCAAACCAAAACAAAGAAGGACGCATCGTATCGTATTTAACTTCAGAAACGGCTGCAGATTAAACCGAACAAACAAAACATGAGAACCATTCAATGAGAACCATTCAATTCGGAACAAACGTCATTAACCCCACCCACCCACCATCCCACCATCTTCAAACTTGCCAGAACACCACCAGGTTCCCCGGAAAAAAAAACAGACTAAGCATACCAGCAACACATTTGTGTACATATTGTGTGTAGATGAGCGCATGTTATATGTATCGCTATGTAACTCTCCCCCCAGTGGCTGTTGCCATGGAACTTTTCAACCTTGTGCACTTCTCCAGCCCCAGACTGATGAATTGAGGCCAAGAGTTTCACTCGATCTACCTTTTTCATATCATTGATGCTCGGACGAGGTATTTCAACTACCTCCTCCTTCTGCCTCTCCACTTCCTCCGCTCCATGGAGACAGCTTCAGGGGGCGATCAAACCCTTTTCTCCTCCGCGGAGAAGGAGCGGAGGGGGCGATCAAGTCAGTCTTTGCGGCTTTGCATGGGGTGGGCAAACTAGGCCACCAAAACCCTTAGAATGTTGGAGACCAATTGTGAGGTATTCATCGGCATCCCTTTTTTTGGGGGGACCCTATAGTTCAATAACTGGATGCTTGGTGCTAGTTGCCGCATTTGGTGTTCTATGCGGTATTTTGATGTATTTTGTGCAATGCCCCAGCTCAAGCAGAGGACTTCTTGTGGTATTTTACCCCCTGATCACCTTGCATGCAGATCAATTGAAAATTCGAAAGGAGGAAGGAAGAAGGAATAGTATGGAATAGTTCCACATACGGCCACTCGTGGAAGAATGATCCTTTAGTCGGAGATTGGTCCCTCCCTCACGGTCGATCTTCCATGGCCTCGTTGGCGCAGGTGTGTGTGGGCGTGTGTAGGGGACGCATGTTTGCCGAGGATGCGTGCTAACATGCTGTCAACCATATCACATGATTGACACGTATTGACACCTATTTGGCTAGTGCCCTTAACTGGCTAGGGTAACATCTCACACCAAAAAAGACATGCCGAAAGACCCCTTTCAAGACTTGTTGAATTGGTCGTTGCACCTTTGGAAGGGCGAGCCACAAATCCAAGAGAGCATTCCACACTGCACTAGAGGGTCGCACGCATGGCTACTAGGAACAAGAAGCTACTAGGGGCTCCTGGCGTCGCTACACTCGATCACACCGAGCCGAGTTGCCGTTGGCCACATCGAGGAGTTCTTGGCTTCGCAGCGTCGGGTTTTCAATGATGCCGTGGTGAACTTCTTGAGCGTCCGCCGCAGCATGATGCTCCACGGTGTGGTGCTGCGGTTTCCGCTCGTGGGCGCTCGCGGTGTCGATGGGAGAAGTGACGCCCGAGAGGTGCTATCTGCGTGGAAGTTGACTGGTGTGAGGATTTTAGAGAGAGATCCAGGAAGATGTGATTTGTGCTTGGAGCATGAATGTGCCAGGTCCTTTTCTCGTCCATTCAGGGACGGAACCTTCAGTGGACGGTCGTAGGACTCGCATCCGAGGTTCGTGACGGGGATCTTCTGCGTGCTTCAACTGTTGATCCAGATGGCCGAGGTGCCCAAAGCCTTCGACACTCGACGACTCTTGGCTGTGGCGGATGTGGAGGTGGCTCTGTGCTTCAAATAGGCGGCCCATCAGGCTCATCACGCGGAAACCTGTGGAACATCTGTGAACATGTTGAACATCTCACAGATTTGCTTTTAGAGGATTGGTTGACCATTTTTGTTGATGGTAAGTGGCAAGCGCACAAAGTAGATGCTGACGTACCCAGGTGTCCAATCAGTTCAGTCCAACCATCGTTGATCGTGCTTGGCACACTCATGTAAAGGAAGGAATGGGCTGGATTTTCCTTTCACCAAACGATGCTTCTACTGCTGAAAGTAATTATATAAGAGCCTTATCATACATTACACTATATTCTATATATAGATAGATAGACTATACTCTTTTCCCCACCTGTCGGGTGAGGGTTGTTCGATTTTATGTCAGCTCGTGCCCTCCTCCTCCTGCTCCTCCTCGTCCTTCTCATCCTCCGCGTCGTCCTCAACTGCGAGCCTCGGCCGCACCTCAACCGCGAGTTCTGGCTGGCAGTGTTCCCCGCCGGACCTCAACCAGCACACAATCACAAACACAACAACTAACACACAATCACAAACACAACCACGAACTCAATCACAAGCACAGAATCACAACACACAACCACGGAGACACATGTATATACAGCACACAACCACAGCACACAACCACAACACACAACCACAGCACACAGCCGCAACACACAACACACAATCACCGCACACAACCCGATGACCCACAAACAAAGTCGACAACCACAAATCTCACGACCATGGCAACATGCTCCTCACCATGGCATGGAGACAAATGATTGAAATTTCCCGGTGGGGATCGCTCGAAGCAAAGTATTTTACATACCAAAAAGAACTCGCTATTTGGCAGATGGCGAAGGCCAAGACATAGTCCTTAAGCATCCGCAGTCTACAAGTGCCAAAGTCCTTGCTAGGCAATCCCATCTCTCATGCAGTGCGAAAGGCTCAAGCTTGGCCATGCCTGCCATACTATAGTATATTTATAAATATATAGTAATTTATGTGATTTTTTTTGTTTTTGGCCATGCCTGCCATATCCTGCTACGGCTGGTCCTGGGTTGCTTGTTTATTGCGGTTGAGCTCCACTTGTTGCAAGACAGTTGGAGGCCTCAGAACATGCGATGCCAGCAGCACCCAAAGCATCTAATTATACTTAGTGGTTTGGACAGCGCTGACCGATATGATTTGATCAACACATGGTGTTCATTTGCTTTGTCAGCCGTGGGGCACCTGCGCATTGGGGCACCATGGCTGTGAGGCCTTTGGATTGAGAAGAGTCAGATCGAAGTGGATGGACAGGTGATGAAGTTCCAGGACTTTGCTTCTCGTCTTTCCAAGTAGGGACTGGCCTGGCACATCTCGCCTTGCTGGCCTGGCTCCTGCTCGCCAAACTGCTCGACATGTCAGCTTTTTGGGGTGGAACATGCGTCACCGTGACGGACCAGGGTGCCTGTAAGTGTCAGGGATGAATTTGTTCCATCAAGCTTGTGTTGCGGGAGATATGTAGCAATGAATCGAGCGGTAAATCGGCGTCCGTGGTCCCAGGATGAGATGGTTTTGTGGGGCGCAGAGCTGGCTTTGAAGCCTAACCGGCCTAACGCCTCAGAAAAAAATACTATAACACAAACATTAAACATCATCTTTCCAAGCATTTCCAAGCATCTCAAGCATTCCACCAGGTCCCATAATGTGGCGGGTGGTGCGTAATGTCAACCTGGTATGGGGAACCCCCCCCTATTAGTCTACCCAGCGTTCAGGCCCCAATAATAAAATAATTTGAACTATAAATTTCCACAGTCACCACTGTCACCACCTTCTAACAAAAATTTTGCTTGGCTGAAACCCCCCCCTATTAGTCTACCCCCTCTCCCACCAGGAAAAATATAGTTACTTAAATATATATGTGTGTTTAATTAGTTTTGTTTTATGTTTTGCCATTCTGATTGATTACCAATGCTCTCCCAAAGCAACAGTTTTCCTAGAATTTCCAAAAACTCTCTAGGAAAATTATTTTATTTTCCCTTATTAAAACTCTATCAAAATCTTCAATTCGAGAAGCTCAGAAAGGCTACCCCCCATACAACCCCTACCCCGTCTAATAGTGGGGTACCCCCCCTATTAGTCAACCCCATCCTCTGGCCTGGTTGCCAAATACTATTTCCCTTTCATTCCAATTCTTCCAAATACTAATTCCCTTTCATCCCAACCCTTCCAAATACAAATTCCCTTTCATTTCAATTCTTCCAAATACTAATTCCCTTTCATTTCAATTCTTCCAAATACTAATTCTCTTTCATTCCAATTCTTCCAAATACTAATTCCCTTTCATCTCAATTCTTCCAAATACTAATTCCCTTTCATCTCAATTCTTCCAAATACTAATTCCCTTTCATTTCAATTCTTCCAAATACTAATTCCCTTTCATTCCAATTCTTCGAAATACTAATTCCCTTTCATTCCAATTCTTCGAAATACTAATTCCCTTTCATCATCAGGTCATCTCCACTATTAGGGGGATGTGATCTCCAAAACCTCCAGTCTCAGACCTTGTTGACCTTGTTGACCTTCTGGGGGGGGGGGGCCGTTGATTAATACGACGTCGACATTACATGTGGCTGGACATGAGGAGACAAAACAAACTCCTTGATCAACACCCCTTTGCAATCGTCACAGGCACTAGGCCATTCGGACAACAGAAGCTCACACTTGAATGCAAGTTGGAGATGGAGGTTGGACTGGATTAACCCGATGCTGCTAATTCTCAGGATCCAAATGTATTGGATCAGACTTAGCTACAGTATGCGGATATATATATATATACGGTTATATAGGAATGTGCACGATCTTTCATATAAGTTTTTTGGCAAACGGGGAGGGCTCAGTTCTTTCTAAACATTCCAGTATGTTGGTGGCTCTTGCAATCACCCGTGACCGTCAACAATGGCGAGCTAGTGTGGGTTACAAGGTATAAGTGTGTGACCGATGGAAGGTTTGCTTTCAACATCTCTATTAATTACCAGGTCAGGTCCAACTTAGCTCCGGGCCGCCTTCGACCTATTGGATGCCCCGAAGAATTTTCCCCACTGTTTTGTGCCCCCCCCAAATGCTGAGGTGTAGTCGCCATGCTCTACAGGGTAGTTCACGGATGCCTTGACATTCGCAAAAGAGCGCCAAAATTCCCAGTAAGATAGAAAGCAATTGCAGCAGGAGGGACAAACCATGGAGAATCTATGAAATCAATGGTGCAGCCTAACCGTTGGGGTTCAAAGCATGTTCTTTGGAGGTCTAAGTGCACCCAGGAGGTACTTCTAGGCAACGGGCAGTGGAACGGGTTTGTTGGGGTAGTAGGTTTGTTGCCCTTGCTTTCCTGACCTAGGCAGCTTTGTCGGGCCAGAACTGGACGGAGACCAACCCGGAGGCTTGGTTTCAGCGCCTCAGTCGGCTGTCAGAGCCCGGGGGAGGTGGAAAGAAGAGTGGTGCCTCCTCTACAAAGTCCGATGGAAGTAAGATGAAGCAACTGGAGCGTTCCCCCATCTCAGGCAGTGCTTATGACGTTACAGAAGGTAATTGGCTCCCCCTGCTTGGGAAACCATCAATCTGCACCCGTAAATGCTACAGTGGGAGACCTTTGACTAATTCCTTCTCCCTGTTCATCATCTGTCACAATCCAGGCCGGAGGGGGTAGGAGCAAGAAGCTACTAGGAGCAAAGGGTATCGCTACTAGGGGCTCCTGGCCATACTACTAGAACAAGAAGCTATTAGACACAACAACTAGAATTTAAAGTAAATATAAGTAAATAATTATTATGTCTTCGTGGTCCCAGCAGGGGTGTCCCTCGGCACCCAACAGCTTGGAGACAAGGCAAAACATAACCGTGACCAACTGACTCCTCACTACCTCAAGGGCTACGTAAGATCATAGGAATGTGCATTCGCGGGTGCTGCTTGGTCAGCCAGAAGTTGCCAATCTCAGGTTAGGTGAGGTACCTGGGGAGCCTGGGGTAGACATGAAAGGGAGCTGGACTTGAGTGACAGAACCTGAGCTTGGTGTGCAAACCTGTGAGAGGCCCCGTTGAATGCAGGTATTTATGTAGGCATCTTTAGGCCATCATGGGAACCCATCTGGGCTGGGCTGGGCATTTGCCACGTCAAGCCATATTATCCCCCTCCAATCCTTTCATCACAATTTGCACCCCACAGAATTGGGATCCGGCCCAGTTTGGCAGGTTGGAACTTTTGCCGAACGGTCTGAGGTATAGCAAACACCTTTACACCGGCATGTTTGCTAAGATCATTAGCCAAACAGCTTTGCTCGACATTGTAGATGCTTGGTGCTGGTTGGTTGGTGTGGGTGGGCAGGATTGTCTTGCAAAGCCACGGAAGGCATATGCATTGTGCGTGTGAGAAGAACAATAGTCACCTGTCGCCTGTCACCCATTGGTTTTTGCTAGTACTTTAGCACGGCCAGATTTTGCTTAGTCGAAATCTTGGACCAAGTTGCAATGTTTTGATTGAGATCTTATCGATGACATGCCACTTGTTTGTTGCTGCTGGCTTATGTGAAATTGCTGTGCAACTCAAGCCTTTGGGATCAGATTCATCAGCCCCTGAACTTTCTCGCCATGTGCCTTCCTGCCAAGTTCTAGAAGCGGCAGTTCTTGCCCGGACCTCTCAAGGCAAAACATCACCCCCATAGCTTTCGCAGGCAGGCATTATCATGGTCGTTCTTTGTTTGGCCATGGCCTTGTGGGCGCTTTTGCTTGTCGAATGACTCGACGGTGCGTGCAAGTCATTCCTTGGTGACTCATTGGTCCAAATCCCCTATGGAGTGATAAGATCCAGGTTAAATCACAACAGGATCGTGTCACCAATCCACCTGTCCGCTCAAAAGGAAAGGGCACCACTGAAATCACCAACAGGTGTGTCCCAAATTGTCCAGCAGAAGAGTCGCATAGAGTCGCCCAGGAAGCCTGTGTTGACGTGGCTTGCCAGTTGGCCAGCTGCCACATGGCATGAGAATACATGGTGGCGCGGCAGCGTCGCGGCCACGCATCCCACACTTGCACCAATTTGGGATTGAAAGGTGCAGTGGGGTGCAGAGTTTTCTCATGAGTGACGTAGGACTACTAGTTCACGATGTTTAGCCACCCGGAAGCCATGAACAACACAAAAAAACTCAGTCTCCGATGTACGATGGCTGAGTCACAGATTCAAAATGGAGGACCCTCAACCACTCGGTGTTCATTTTCACAAGTCTTTGGAGAGACCCTCTTCTCAGGCGCACTCATCTCCTTTGTTCCGCGTCATTTCATTATGATTTTTCATAGACAATCGCTCAAGGAGAGAACCTGAAACGGAGCCTCCTGGTCGTTGCATTGCTCAGGTTTGTACTTGTGGTGGGCACTCAGGCCTTCGCGGCGTAGCGGCGTAATTGGCCCGGATTTGGAGCTTGCATTGCAAGCCGCGTTTGCCTTCAACATTTGGTCCCGTTTCCTTGTTGAGGAAAAGAATCTACTTGTATGTAGCTCAGCAGAACCACATCTCCAAGTCCCATTGAACTGTTGGGTTGGGTCCCATCTCAACAGGGGAACCGGGACAGACAGAAATTGCATTCTCCCTCTACTACATGTAGTATAGTCAAGAGACCCCCCCTTTCCTTTCCGTCGCAGTCCCAGCAAAACAACTGAACACCCTTTCATTGCCGCGTTGTTGCGGCGCGCGCTGGAAGGAAATGGTCTCATTTCCATCGGTCCCACCGGGGAGTCTTGAAGGGTTGGATTCTCGGCTTTTGTGTCGGCCCGGACCTCAACAGCTTGGAGGGAGACATCAAAACAAAGAGGGGCTTTGCAGGCATGGGGTCATGGACGGATGGATGGGCTTTGTCAATGTTGTTATATAGTTCATGTCTTTCGCATATATATATATACACACCGTAATTAGCCTTATCTTCTACAGACGCTTGAGGTACGTAAGCTTTTCCAAGACCTGTCATGAGGGAAGTGGAATTGGTAACAGTCCCATGGAAAGAGTGGGCTTTCAAATAATGCTTTGGTCCATAACTTTAGAGTATAATGCTGCAATTATATCATCGTCTAAATGTCCAAGGTTGAATGTCCACCCCCCTTTCGCCAGGGTTTTCCAAAAGTGATGTTCATTTATGGCTGGTGCAATGGAACATCGTTACCTGGCATCCTGCAAAGGTCAGAAGAAGCTGATTTGGATGATTAAGCGGAATGTTAGAGATGCAAACGTCACATGGAAGAAACATTTTCTTTGGAAGTTCCGTGCAGTCAGGACTGCAAGTCAAGCTTCCGTTTCATAGCAGATGTGTTGTAAATTCCGATGCTTCTCATTCATGAGCAATGAGTGTTCAATAGATTTCAAAGGAATCACCAGAATCTAGAAGATGGGATTCTGAAATTCCTTGGAGGTTTTTGCCTTTTAGCGGAAGATAGAAGCTCCATCGACTCGGCTGTTTGATTCGCTTCATCAGCTCAGGGCCTTTGGCAACTCGGCCACATTGTGTCGACGTCCAGTGAATATTGATATGTCAAGAAACCACCAAACCCTCCAACAGCAAGGGCCCAAAACTGCTGATCTTGGAGGGATTTGGTTGACATGGGTTAGCAAGACAGAATGAGTCTGTCCATGTTGCCCTCTTATATAACTAATTGGCATTTCTATTACGGTGAGGGAGGTCTTTGTGTAAGACATTGCAAGACCATGTGCCCTCAAGCAAGAAAGGTAGCCGAAGCCCACCAAGAGGACAGAAAGGATCGGTCGAGAACTTCATCGGCGGACCAATGTTAAAAGCGGCCCTCACAGTCCTCGCCAAGTTTTACTAGAAAAACACGCCGGAGAAACAGTTCATCAAATCTGCGGAGGTCAAAGCATCAATACCAGATGTTAGGTTGACTCACAAGTCCCCTCTTTTGGGATAGGTGTTGGACCAAACAAATGGTTTTTCTGGGGCCCTGAGTTTGATAAACCACCACCGTGTGAACGTGGTCCTTCCTTGGAACCCAATAATTACAGGATTTTGTGACGCTCAGAAGCTTTGGAAAGTTCCACGGGTGCACTCTTGACGGGAGTGTGCTTTTCTCCAACCAACAGAATCCATCAACTGGTGCTGATTCTCTGTGGCAGATCCGACAGACAAATCCTAGTAGCACGAGCCGGAAGATTCTCTCTCGCTCACTCTCTCTCTCTCTATACGTGGCTTTCCAAGTGGGTGTCGGTAGAGGAACGCTAATCTGAACGACCCCCGGAGACTGGCATGAGTTCAGCCGGGCCAGTTCGGTTGTGGGATGCCCAAGCCTTGGAGGGCCCGTTTTTTGTTGCAACATACTCACTTTAGATTCTCGACCCCAGTTGTTTCGAAAGGAGCTCCGAACATGGGGCCATGGAAGAGAGAATGTAAAGCACTCCGCCGTCCATACAAAGGAGTCCTGCCTTGGGGGTCAGTCCCAAGCAATGTTGCTATGTTTTTTCAGCTGGCGACCTTTCAAAGGCTTGCTGGCTCCCTTTCTGGCGACCTTGATCCCCACTCGGCTTTTCGTCGAGTGGAGCGTCTCGGCATGTCTCGGCTTGTGGGGGCCGATGCCAATTGCGATCCGTGCTGTGAGGTCACTTGGAAGATGGATCGTGAATCATGAAATATACCATATATGATCAAATCATGTCCCTCAATTTGCAATGCTGTAAAGAGATCTAACGAGTACTGTACCGCTTGTTGTTGATCAGATGCAGTCATTCATACACTGGAGCTTTGTTTGGGGAATGTGCCACACCAACCCAAGATCACGCCATGCCAGTCCCATTTTTGACTATATTGCTGACCAAGGGTGCCTCAAGCAGGAGACCCCTTAAATCTTTAGATACTCCAGGTATCTCCAGGTATGTCCGATACCCGGCCAGGCCTTTGTTGGACCTTGACTACATGACATGGACGTGTTTTTGTTAACAATCACGGAGAGTAGATGAACAAGCGCCTTAGTTGTAGGGCCTGGTTTCCCAACACAAGCATCACACCGGGGACACTACACCGCCGCTACACCTGCAAATTCATCTAAATCTAGGAATCTCGGTGTGGCTGCCCTTTGTTACTAGTAGCTTCTTGTTACTAGTAGCAATGCCAGGAGCTACTAGTAGCGTCCTTGCTCCTGGTAGCGGTGGCCTTTGTTACTAATAGCTTCACTTATATAATCTTATATATATATGTATAGCAGTCCAGGGGTGTTCCCGTCTTTGTGCTTCAGGCGTCCTCGACCCAGTGGTCGAGACCTTCGCGTCCGAGTTAACCACGCATTTGGCCTCGCACACCGACGACCTTGCGCAGCCGCCGGGCCAGTGAAACGGATTGGCGAAGCCACAAGAACTCCAACCAGTTGGTTCAATGATTGTTTATAAGGACTGGTTCTTTGATCGACGATTCGTGGTGGCTAAAGACGACTAAATCATTCTTGTAAAGGAGGGGGTCGAGTTTCGCGTGGCCGTCTCCGCTGCGCTCAGGGGCATCCAGCAAGCTTGTCAAGGTGTGGTGGATTTCCACGAGCAAGGCCACATGGACAGTGCTGAGCGGATGGCCAGGACAGCACCAAATTGTGGGCAGAGGACGCTGGTGGGCAAGGGTGCAGATACAGGAATCCACTTGTCGTTTGTGGTTCTTCCCCTGCAAGCCTTCATTGCTATGACTAGACTTGTGGTCGCTTCCATCTGCAGCGGCTTTTTAGGATCATTGGGCAACCCATTTTTAACGCTATAGGGTTCACCCAGCGAGGCTATCAGCTATCAGAGTCCACATCCTTCCAAACAACAAGTCGTGGAACGAGTGAACCTGGCTGAAAGATAGTTGGATCAAGCTCCGCACAAAAGTCACTCCTTCCGTGATTCGAGCCCTTCCGACGGTGTACACACCATGCAGTGTCACTCAACTCCGGTGAACTCAAGTGTCCTTTTGCGGGCCGCTCGAGTGATTCGGTCAGGAGAGCCTGTAATGCTTTGGTCAAAACTCCGTTCCTCGGCCGCAGGTTTTGCGGATAAGGACAGAAGGTTGAATGAGAGGAGCTAACGCATAATGCTGATGGTAAGATCGAAAGCTATGGAACGATTGGCGCGTACAAGGTGCTCAAAGGACTAAAAGCCAATGGCTTTAAGAGGCGTCAGTTTGGACTCCTAAGATCTTCTACGGGGAGGATGTAGTTTTGAACTTGGTTGTGCAGCAGATCGCATCACGTTGCCGGCATGCTCATGTTTCTGGAAGCGCCGTGTGAACATATTTGAGCCGAGCGTTTGAGCACATTTGTGGTGTGAAATGCAATGAGAAGCTCAGGAACCGGCACCTGAAATGTTGTTCCTTTATGAAGGTTGCCTTTGGGCGGCATTCTCCGGGTTGTGAGTTGGTTGTTCCATACATTCATACATTCCTGTGAAACTCATAGGTTGGAGGCAGCAAGTGCCACACGTGCCAGTCATTACTGACAGAGCACGTCAAAACAAAGAAAATTGCTGTGCTCTTCCATCTCTAGTAGTGGCAGATCGATTGTGGAAAGTGTTTCCATGGTGCAAGCTGCCAGTTTGCGGGCATAAAACGGTGGAATAACGGCGGCAACAGATGGCATGCTCCAGGGTGCTGCCCAGCGGCTAAAGGTAAATTACTAGACCCCAGAAGAGAAAATTTGTGCAATACCACAGGAGTTGCCCCCCAAAAGATTTGTGTACCAGGGTCTTCCTGCCAGGAATATTGCTGTACAGTGTAAACTCAGTCCACTTTGGGGCACCCCGAGAGGACTCGAAACCAGTGAACGGAGCAGTGGATAAGTGATGAAAAGCTCTCTTGGAATCTTCCCTGATTTGGATGAGTTGCAGGTGATAGGATGTGAAAAGCCTTGGAGTGGAGAATTCACTGACGACCGCCGGCAGCCACGTGGCGGCTCGGCTGGAAATCCGATTAAGGTGGACTTTGACTTTCGGCCCATTCACAGCACCTGTGGCAAGATCAATGCCTACCTGGACACCGAGGCCTTGCACCCGGGCCCAACACGGTAAAGCCCATGCGACCCTCACACGATACGGTTTCAGGTGCTGACTGGCTGGGTTTGCACATCCAGTGTTGGGTTGATTTTGGTTCACCTGTCCCAACACTAAGCGGAATCTTTGGGTGAAACTTTAGGTTGTCCTGACTCATCAGAACACCAACACTTAATATCGAATATTGATGTGCGTGTAAATTTTAAACCCCTTCTTTAGCAAACGATTGAGTGAGTCTCAACAGAATGATTATTCATCCAAAACATTTCGAGGGATGTCAAGGAAACACAAGGAAATCAAAAGGAAGCCCTTTCATGTCCAATGCAATTTGTGATTTTATCCAGTGCTGAAAAAGAACAGTCTAAAGGAGAGCAATAGGAAACCAATCGAGGTCAGAAGCAGTTGTATACATTTAAACTACGACCCCCTAAACAATACTACAAATCAGTTCCAAGACACCTGTGAACTATTTTTTCAAACGTTGATTTGGACAATATGTTCATTGATATATATATATATATATACTGTAGTTGAAATCAGACATTTTCATAACAGGGATCAGCTCAGAATCCCAGGACTAAAGATGGACCAACAAGAAGCAAGGAACATAAAAAACAGGACATCCAAAGGAAACAACCAGAAATCAATAGGAACCACATTGGTGGTGGTTGCAGTAAACATAAAAAAATATTTACAGCCTTCGGCATGCCGCCGGCCACCAGCTCGAGCCCGCATTGGCAGGCAGCTTAATGATACAATACCCTGCTCAATCATACTTGTTGGTGCATTGGAGGTGCACATTTGGCTGGGTGAGTTTGTTGATGTTTATTTCAAGGTTGTTTGACCATGAAATGGAACAAATCCGAATCGGAGGTTGTCTATTCTGATCCAGCGATCCGAACCGGCATGTCTCAGTCGAATCACCTAAGAGGAACCAAGTGAAACCAACACAAGCAATGCGAACCAAGACTATCCACAAAACATGACCTTGAAAACGATTCTTCTTCCAAACTACTTGGCCGTGTGCATGTTTTCCTTTTCAGATCTTTTTTTCGACCATCTCGAGGGATTGCGACACGCACCAGATATTCTTTTTCACACACAGAAGGCTTCAAAGCGACCGAAGAATTTCTAGATCTGGCATGATTTGTCGTTTTTTCTCCAAACCGTTTGAAATGAAAGACCCAGAATGACATCGAACAACAATACCCTGCTCAATCAGACTTGTGGGTGCATTGGAGTTGCACATTTTGCTGGGAGAGTTTGTTGCTGTGGACTTCAAGCGAAGTCGTTTTACAATGAAATGGAACGAATCCGAATCAGAGGTTGTCTATTCTGATCCAGCGATCGACATGTCTCAGTCCAATGGTTGTCTATTCTGGTCCAGCGACCTACTACCTACTACCTACTACGTACCACCTACTACCTACGACCTACGACCTACTACCTACCACCTACGACCTACGACCTATGACCTATGACCTACGACCTACTACCTACTACGTACCACCTACTACCTACTACCTACGACCTACGACCTATGACCTACGACCTGCGACCTACTACCTACTACCTACTACGTACCACCTACTACCTACTACCTACTACCTACGACCTACGACCTACGACCTATGACCTACGACCTACGACCTACTACCTACTACCTACTACGTACCACCCACTACCTACTACCTACGACCTATTACCTACTACCTACCACCTACGACCTACGACCTATGACCTACGACCTACTACCTACTACCTACTATGTACCATCTACTACCTACTACCTACTACTGCTGCTACTACTGCTACTGGGGGAGGGGGGGCGTCAGGCTGTCGAAAATCTCGCGCGGAGAGACAATACTCAAGCAATACTAACCAATACAAGCAATACTAACCAAAACAATCCACAAAACACGCCGGCAGGCCGGCGGATTGGAGAACCCATTGCAGCATAACAATGACAGCGCACATCAGAGGGGGGGAACAAATATCATTATTTTATATAATCCAATCTCAAAACAGCTGCGGGGTTTTGAATACATTGAAACCTTTGGAATAATTTGGACAGCATAGATGAGCACGTTCGATTTTTACAAAGCGGGACCCAAAAATACTGCTATCACCAGGGCATACCAGGACTATATACTGTTGTCCGTGAGGAGGGCGTTTTGGCAACCCGTCCACTACTCAGTCATCCCAAAACCCTGCCAGGGTGGCCCATGGCATCAGAAGGCCTTGACAGCTGCATCGGAACTTTGCAAAGAGACGGTGATGCCCAACTTGAAGGCAGCCAGAAGTTTTTCGTGAGCGGGTATGAGTAGCAGGACAGGCCTGCACCCTACACAACACACATTGGTCGGCATTTATGTCAAACACCATCAACCCATCAACCACCTGTGGGAGGTGTGTCATTTACTCCGAAGTGGTGGCCACTGACACAGAGAACAGCGAGGGAGAGAGAGAGAGAGAGAAAAAAAAAAGAAAACAGAGAGGGGGGTTGAGAATGGATATTCTTTTGCATTTGCTTCTGGGCATCGGCCACATTGGGTAGTGTGCATTTTTCGGGTTGGCAACGAGCATGGCATGAGGATTGATGCGAATCCCCAAGAGAGAAAACTGCTCGAGTTGGTGGAGTCAAGATCCGGATTCATGTTCGCGTGTATTCTTCTCCCCGACGAAGTGTAGTGCAGCATGGTGACACACCTTCAAACAAAGAGAGGCCTGTGGAAGATGTGTTGCCATAATTTATGTGGCGCCGATCCAGTATACAGTTGTTTTCCTTCAAATATGCTTTCAGCTTTGTTCCATCCTCATTTCTTTGGCTGTTGGAGCTGGAGCTTTCACTGGCAAGACGTGGACATGCAAGATGGTTTGGCAACCCCCCAGGAGTCAAGACTTAGACCTATATAGCTGATTTAAATAGTCAAACGCTCTTTTAACTTTAACTTGCACATCGTATGCTGCTGGAGTGTTGCAGAACTTTCGGTTTTGACTGTAGCTTTGGAAAAGACACTTCGATAAATGGCAGGTCTCAACTCGGACACTCTATGAATTAGCTCCACTTGCTTGTGCCACACATGGCTATCAGATGACGAGGGGGAAGGACCTCCAAACACCTTTAGTCTTTAAGCACATGCCTTGCCACTGCTGCAGGGTGTGGACCATTTTTTCTGCGCCAGACAGGGGAACCGCTGAAGAGTAAGCACGGTGGAACATGGACAACCCTGATTTCTGGGTGCCAACCCTGCTATCACTCCGCTGTGTCACTGACTGAACACCTGGCAGAACACCATTGAGTTGGGCTTTTCCAATGCTTTGGAGAGGGCCGCCACTGCTGGCCCGGTCGCACAACGCATGAAGCCGCTAGACTTCAACAAAGACGTGTGTGAGGAGGTTCCACATGTTCAGGTTTGGCTCAATATGTCGAGGTTTCCTCGCACTGTCTTTAGTGGGTGTGTGAGTTTGGTGTGAGCATGGCTGTGAAATTTGCCATTGCCATTGCTTCCTGGGGGCATGTCAAAAGTATAAGAAGTCCAAATGCATGAGGAGCTGTTTCTTGGATGTTATTGCTTCAAACCTCAGAGTGGTTTGAGTGAGCGTGGTTCGGAGTGTGTATGCTTCTTAGGCTTTTGTCAATGGTTCGACCTGTGCCTGCAAAAGGCTGGGTGTTGAAGAACTTGTTTGGCTAATTGTTTGGCGGTGGTTTTGTGAGTTTTTTTAGGTTACGGATATTGATATTGTTATTTAATGTTCTATACATTAAACATCATTAAAACCTTTGGATCACATTTGCTGAGGCAGAGCGTCTCCATGGGCATGGGCTTTGCCGCCTGGCGAGGGCTATAGAGAGCTCCCAAGGTCCTGAGCGTTTTTGCATGTTTTTTGCACTCCGGGTAGGGAACGGTTAGGTGAAGCGTTTTTTCCATTGCCACCACAGTCTTGTAGATAGCGTTCTTCGGCAGAGTTCATGCTGAGACACCAGGGCAGTTTGAGTTTGAGCCATATATTTCTGTTGCCCTTCTTCTTTGTGGCACCCACATGAACATGTTCAGCAGGATCACAAGAACTATATAACTTGAACCTTTTGATGTTACTTGAGCCACGATTGAGTCAGACTGACTCATGTAATTGATCATCGTCATCCCAACGCAGTACCCCAAGTCACTACTTCAGACATAGTTTGGCGTTGTCCAAATTCACTGCAATGGCCGGGTGGTTTGCTCTCCAGTGTCACTAGGTCCATTGTTCCGCGGATAAAGTGAGCAAGATCTACAGGAAATATTCTATCAAATCCTGGATGATGATGATTTTCACCTTTGTGTGCCCTTGCCCCAAACAAAGACTGGTGCCCTATGATGTGAAACCTCATATAAAGAATTGAATAGCCCCATTCACGAAGAAACAACTGTTTTGCAGTTGTCAAATGCCTTCCTTTGTGTCCGAACAACGTGACAATCTTCCAACCAATTCCACAGCCAAGGCCAATGGGTGCGGGCCCCAAGCAGGATGTTGATGGAAGGAGTCAGATTCAATGTGCATATAAGTTCTACATCAGTTATATAGTTGCTTTAACTATCTTTAACTCCATTCTTTTCACCTTGGCTTTTTGTCATGCGCCATCCAGCTGGTTTTAGTTGAATTCCGTGATTCGCAATGACTTGAATGGATCCATGTAGCGAATTTAGCGGACCGAGTTCTTTTCGATGGAGGAGGTAGTGTGCGGAGGAATCCCTGTGATGATTAACTATTATACAAAGACCAAGTCGCAGACATCGCGCTTGGATAACGATTCACATTTGCTAGCACAGGTTGGATGCTTGACATTCCTGCTGTTTTGGAACGGCAATTATATGATTGGTCCGTAGTGCGTGCCGGATTGATAGCACAGATGCCAGTTGGAGCTGTTCTTCCTGATGGGTTCTGGAAGCTCTCGGTCTTCACATATGTTTTCATGGCGTGGCAAGGAGTTTCTTAGTTCAGATCTCAACTGAGTCTTATTTGTCCTGGCCAGGCTGCGGGGCTTCAATACCATCATGCAGCTCGCCAATTGGGAGTGAAACTGCTGTTTTCCCGCCTCCAGATGAGGTGCTAAGACACAGGAAGCTCTGACGAAGCATGTGCTTGCAATGTTGTTTTTGCAAAGGATTGATGGATGCTGAAGATAGAAAGAGAGAGAAAGAGGGAGAGGACTTATACGCATAGCTGATGATGATGAATGCCATGCGTGGGATATTCAGATAGCATTGATTTTTTTAGTTGAGCTGAAGAGGTCAGAGATCCGGACGTGGTCACTAAGAAT